CATGATCATCATAATCATCATCATCATCATCATCACCATAATCATCATGATCATCATTATCATCAACAGCATAAAAGCGGAAAGCTTGACAATGATAATAAAAATTATGTTGATGTTGTTGATCGTCATCATGATAATCATCATCATCTTTATTATGGCACTATGTAAGGCACACTCTTCAAATTTTCTTACTTCTACCACAACCATTTTATACTGAAGCTACTACCACTCTACATGTTAATACCTGAATTACTTTAACTTTTTTAAAAAAAAAAGGTTGTTTGATACAACGTTTTTTCTAATTTGTCTAAGATTATGCCTACTTTTTATATCTTGTTAGAGTCACACCACACATCCATCTGATCATTTTCTCTTTCGGCAAATACTACACTATATAAATACTAAAGTTTATACAACAATGAAAGGATATTGTATGCCAGCATCTAAAAAAATAGCAAACAAATATGCTTATATCCATAATATGTGTGCAAAAAGTGCATCTCGGAAGCCGATATTGCTTCTGGAATAAAAGTTTGGAAGCTTTTATTACTTCTCTTCAGTTTTAAATCAAGCCTCATTTTACTCTACATCTTTCAACATTAACTACGTTTTTTAGCTTTTTTATAAGAACATCTCTCTTAAGAAAAAATTGTCCTTTTTATTATTGCAATAATAAAATGTATAAATAAAGTCTTGTCTGATGTAAATCTCTGTTATTCTCAGTTTACTAAACCTTGTATCTTATCTTAGATGTCGATTCTAGAGACTTTTGGTTAGTTTTCAACAGTGTTATTAACTAAAGTGTCTTATGGATTTAAATTCTGGACTTAAAATCCACAATTTTTGTTAGACAACAAAATTCATTTATTTACTACAAAAAAATATTGCAATATTGTTGGTATTCCTATATTGACAAATAAAAACCCTATACTTATTATAACATATTATACAATAACAATAACAATAATATATATATATATATATATATATATATATATATATATATATATATATATATATATTATATATATATATATATATATATATGTATATATATATATATACATATATATATATATATATATATATATATAAATATATATATATATATATATATATTATATATATACATATATATATATATATATATATATATACATATATATATATATATATATATATATATATATATAGATATATAGATATATATATATATATATATATATATATATATATATATATATATATATATATATATATATATATATATATATATATATATAATATATATATATATATAGATATATGAATATATAGTTTGTATGTGTATACACATAGCTGTCATGTTTTGAAAATGTTTATAAGGGAGACTTGGAAAAAATATTATACCACTGGATATTTGTCTACTAAAATACCTCTAATGACTAAAAAAGTTTTTTAATGATTTATTACTCTGACAACTTACTTAAAAATGTCCAAATTTGGCCACTGACTGAGCTGAAATTTATTCTGTATATATTTATTCTTTTATGTATTTATGTTTGTGTTAAGCAATTTTTAACAATCTTTAACTATTTTTCTTAACTTATAAAATGAAAACTATTTAAAAAGTTAGAAGCTTGGTGTATTTTAAGTTACTAGTGAGGAAAAGAAAGTTATTAAATTATTTTTAAATGCAGGTTGAAGATAAATTTCTCTTCAAAATTCAGAAAACTCCTGCCAAATGGGAGAGACTTCATAGGTCTGTATTCAGATACTTAATAAAACTAGTATACAAACTCTTAATGAAGTATGTATGTAAAAGTGATAATTTGTAAATAAACTTAAAAATTTATTCTGTTAACAAACTTAATTTAGTCTGACTTATTATGTTTTATTAATTTTGATAATATTTTATAAATGCGAATCGTATTAAAACTAAGTACTATTTCTAACTAAGAAATAAATATTTAAAAAAAGTTGAGCATTTTATTAAAACTGTCAACTAAAAACAAAATAAAACATTGACAAAAATAATCTGAATAAATCGAATTTTACCTGAGATTTATGTAATTTATATACATTTTGATATAAAATCTAAAAGTTTTAAATTAGTCGCAATAAAATCGGCTATAAAATATAACTTTATTAAAACAGATTTATATCATATGCATGCATTTTATCAAGTTTTCCTTGCCTTTCCATTACGGCATATTATTTTTGTAATGGCTAGTTATTGAGACAATAGTTTTCGATGTGCCACTTCCTCAACATTGTCAAATCAACGTTTTATTAACGTTAGCAAAGTAACACTTTTTCAACGTTTTTTAATTAGCACATTTTCAACCAACGTTGAAATAACGTTGAATAAGTGTTGTTTTTCAAATAGTTTAAATTCGTTGAAAAAGCAGCTAATGTCTAATGTTGATAAACCATTACCTTTGCGACATTTTTACAGTGATTATTTGCGTACTTATTTTCAACGTTTAATAAACGCATTTTTTTTAGAAGATAAGATACGTTTAAATTTATACGCTTATTCAACGTTGAAAATGTAACGTTTAAAAATCGGTTTGTTTTTAACGTTGATAAAGCATATACTTCGAAACGTTTTTAAAGTGGTTTTTTGCGTAAGTTGATTCCACGTTGAATAAACGTTTTATTTTGAGAGGCTAAATTACGTTACAATTTCAACGCTTATTACGTTACAATTTTAACGTTTCAATTTACCGCGATTTAGTATACAAAAACAGACATTGATTCAACGTTGAAAGCACGTTGTTTTTGTGACTTTAACGCTTTTTCTAAGCTGCGACTAGTTTTCAACGTTGATTCAACGCTTACATGTTTGCTGGGTCTGTGAAAGACTTGTATAAATATAAATGGATTGAATGTTTATATCGCTATAAACTTTTATAGTTTGAAAGTTTAATGAGTAAAAATAACCTACAATTTTATGGTTGCCCATGCTCCAAGCGAGTTCCAAAAAATATTTCCTTAATTATTAGATAAGGTTTAAGACTAAGAATTGAGCTTCTCAATAGGAACTACTTACAGTAAATACGTATTATATAAACAGTAAAAACAAATTATAAAATTTCCTAAGTAAAACGACAATAAATTAGCAATTTACATCATAACATTTTAAACTGCATTGCTAATATCCTCATCAATAGAATGGGATCATAATGCCTATTTTGAGTAGTTTTTTTTTGGGATACACCTTAACTTAATTCTACTTTCAATTTAATTATTATTTTAAGATAAAGAGGAACATAAACACATTTAATAATAATAAAAAAGGGAACTCCTGTGTTGTAACCATTAATGGTTGTGCAAATAGAACTTTACAAAACAATAAATATCTAAAAAAAAAGTGTTGGGTAACAATCATAACATTCAACAAAGCAATATTTTTTAAAGTAATTCTTTAAATACCCTAGCAAGTTGAAACAGTATAAAAAATCCTATTTTACGATAAAGTAAATTACGATGGTAAATTTTTATTTATATATTTTTTGTGGATTACTGGAAAACACAATAGATATCTTCTTGTTATTGAAACCCCTTCTACCCCCACTTCTTTTTCAATGTTTTTATTTCAAAGGTTTTTTACATTTATATCATCAATTTCCGTGTGAGCATTAAAAAGAAAAATTTTAATTACATTTCATTAGTCATGCATTTTTTGTGGTTATCTAAAAACAATTATGAAAATGATCCCTAAGTGTTATGAGTATTTACAGAACCTTTTTGCTGGAAATCATCGTATGTGTTCATTTTTATGTTTGATATGATATGATAGACGTTTGTTTCAGACACTATTTCAGATAGTGTTAGCTCAGCATATTTTTTAGTGACAAAACATCAACAACTAGAGGAGATGTCAACTAATGACTGGTTGACCCTAGCCATTAATTAATAGTTTCTTTAATATTTCAAAGTCTAGGAAACCCTATATATATAATTTCTAAAGGAAGTCTATCAGAATATCTACCATCGTAAAACCTTTGCTTTCCAGATTAATAAAACTATTTAAATGAATATCAATCCATAATCAATTTATTTTCATATTAGAAAAATATATTTAGGATACCTACGGTATGGTTTTAAAATTATTAAACATCATGCTCAATAATTTTATTTAACTAAGTTCTTTAGTTTTAAAAATAGAAAATGCAATTTCACTCATAACTCTTTTCTTTACTGGTTCTGTACAGCTTTCATTATTTTTTTACAAAAAAATATTTAATATGAAAGGAAAAAATTATAAAGGAAATGAAACGATAAAGATGCCAGTTCACCCAAAACAATCAGAATTTTGAAGATATAAATCTTTAACGAAACTTATAATAACGATCTTTAATTTATGTTTGTTTAGATTTAAGTTTCATTAATGTTTATTAGGAGCATTTTATAAGTAACTAGAAATTCATGGTAGAATGTATTCCGTGGCAAAACGTTAGATATTTTTGTAACATTCAAAGCAATAAAATTTTTTTTTTTATAAAACTTGTAAAAATTCTTATAAAAGTTTTTCCAATTAAATGTGTTTTTAAAATCCAAATTCGGCTTTCAGTTAAATTTGGTTTGTTAGTCCAAATTCGTCTTTCAGTTAAATTCAGTATACGCATATAATCTAAATTCGCCTTTTATATAAATTCGAGTCTTGAAAAGTCAACTTCGCCGGTCCCTAAATTAAACAATATCCTTGTATAACATATTTCGTGCGTTAAAGTGATATTTATTTTTCTTTAAAAAGCAAAAACAGTTTTTAATATTTGTTCTTGTTTTATGTTTGTGTTATCGTGCTGGGTATAACTGGTATTTTCATAATTGAGATTAAATGATGTGTTTCTGAATTTGAGATGAAGTTTCTGAAACTGTAATTAAATTATTAATAAATCATGCTTTTTTTTAATTAAATTTTAAAATTAAAATTTTTTTTTTTAGTTTATTAAAATATTTATAAACAGGTTTTGTATGATTTGTTAAACCTTTTTTATATCATATTATTTTAGAGTACACCGAAGTGTTATCTATGAAAAATTTCGAGGTAAAAGAAGGTAAAAAAGTTGCTACATTGATGTTTTTATCTAAAAGTTTTAGTATTGATTTTGAATTTTGCTTTACAACTGTTGGTTTGAGCAACAAACTTAATGAGCGCGTGACTAACTTGTTTCGTTTTGGACAAGCATATCCTAAGATTTGTGATCTTGAATGTGAACTTAGGTGTGAATCAAGATTTTTAAACGCATATATTGGACCAGAGACAAGAAATCAAATTTCATTATCGTTCGGAAATTGCCTGGCTGGGGAGTTCAGCCAAACCGATTTTCTTATTAATCCAGGGTGTGTTCGGTTTCAAATAACACAGCTTCCTGTTGATGGGACTTATTGGTATACTATTAAAGTTAATAGAACAGAGGTTAAATATAAAAACATGAATCCAAAAGAATTAGAGTCTGTTGATATATTTTTTTCTGACTTTCCTCGACCTACAATTCCTTCAATACTTGGAGTAGTCAAATATCTTAGAGTAGCTAATGCAGACTGTTGTAAGATATACTTTTTTCTTTAGATTTTAATAACCGTATTTTATTGTTTAATGCTTTTTATTTATTTTATATTTGACGTTTTCTACATACCAAAATGCAAAACAGTCCTATAAAATCAATAAATGCCTGTGAGCAAAAAAGAAAAGTTTTTTTAAAATTTTCCCAAACAAAAAAAGAGAAATTTTATGCAATATAAATGATTTTTTTTAAGTCAAATCATCAAAGTAACTCCTAAACGGCTATTAGAAAACTGGTAAAGAACAATAAATAATAACAATATTTCGGTTCAAAAACACTTAAACAAACAACAATTAGCCAAATTGTTTTGTTGCGGTCCGCACCCTTATGTAAGGAAAAAAATAAATATGGTAGCTTCTTACTTTGATAAAGTATCAAAAAGTATTCTGCATCTTATTATTTCTACTTTTTATAGCTAGACTTTTAAAATGTTTAAATTGTATTGTGCATCTGCTTTATGCATCAATAACTTCAAGTCAAAAGATTCATACTCTCTACTCAAATTGTTTACCAAGATCAAACTTTTTTTACATTAAAACGCTCTTTCGACTACACTATATGGATATATATATATATATATATATATATATATATATATATATATATATATATATATATATATATATATATATATATATACATATATATATACATATATATATATATATATATATATATATATATATATATATATATATATATATATATATATATATGATATATATTTTGATATATACAGATTATATATTTACATATTTTTATATATACGGATGCGCGTTTTATATATATATATATATATATATATATATATATACATATATATATATATATATATATATATATATATATATATATATATATATATATATATATATATATATATATATATACATATATATATATATATATATATATATATATATATATATATATATATATATATATATATATATATATATATATATAATTAAATGAAAATCCTTGCTAAATATATAATTCATTTGACATATAAATATATGAAAAACATATAAATATATGAAAAACACACTAATATAATATTAACATATATATAAGTCACCAATAGTTTTTTTCAAAAAATTTGTTTTTTTTTCCTCATATAGGGACAAGGAAGCTGTTTTATGATTGATTTTTTTTCTCTAACAAAGTAATCAGGAACTTGTGGGTCTTTGAAGGAGATGATTCTTGGGTTTAAAACATCTAAATCTCGTCTAAAGTATCTTGTTTTCGTATTGTTATTTTTATCTATATTTACAACCTGGCCTACAAAATGATATGGTATCTTTTTTCCATGTGCACTATTGTGTACTATTAGGAGGTAAGAAGACCATTCTAATATCTTCACAAACATTCTAATAGCTTCACAAATTTCAATAACATCAATAGATAAAAGGCATGCTAAATTATCACCTATAAGAAGTTTTGTTGTGTTATTATCAACATCTCTAAAGTAAGTTATTATTAATGTTTGCATCCAATTTTTAAAACAATAGCCATCAAACCAACCAGAAATGAAATTGCATAAAATGTCACATAAAATTGCAGCACGCTTTCTACAAATATTTTGACATGCTTGATAAGACAATGACTTTTATGCCGCTTTAAAAATGATCTTACCCAGTTCATCACAAGAAAAATTTTCATTAAAATACAGGCACTCTCTTCCAGATTTGTTAAGAAAACATTGTACAAATAATTTGAGGTCTATTTTATCAAATGCATACCCAAAATCACTAAAAGTTGCAATGTATTGTGCAATTGACATCTCCTCGTCTGATAGCAAAAAACTCTTTTGACCAACCACACTACTTTTGCATAAACCATTAATATGACACCTTAAAGTTATGTGTGGTATGTTTAACAGCTTTGCCACAAGTTTCCAAGGTTTCACCATTAACAAGTGCGATAACTCTTTTAAGTTCACATTCTAAGTAAGTCTTTGACTGTTTTTGAGTTGATTTTAAATAGTTTCTCACCATTTCCACAAATCTGTTAAAAAAAGGTTAAAAAAAAGTAAATATGGTATAAAAACTCAAATTATTTGTATCTTTAAATATTTATTTTATTATCAAAAATATTATAAGAATAAAAACCACTCAATTCAAAAGCTGCTCATTTACCCCATATAAAAGTGCTCAATTACCCAACCTTACTTTAAATACTTAAAGTTTATGAACAGTTCATTCATAAGACTTAAAAACTTGTAAGAGTTTACTTCAATAAATGTAAGGTACACTGAGAAAAATTCAAAGTTCTAAGAAAGTTTTAACTACAAATGCTTACCCTTAGAATTTCCAGTTGGTCGTTTTTACGGAATTCTATGAACCTACACCGTGATAAAGTTAACTTGTTATTGATTATTTGTTTTCTTCCAAAAGATCTGTAACAAACAACTTATATTTTACTTAAGGCACAATATGCGATATTAACTACAAAATGAACTAAGCAATAACACTAAATATATCATTCGCCCATTAAAATGAATATGTGAACGGGTGCGCGATTACCCCACGCTACGGTATATATATATATATATATATATATATATATATATATATATATATATATATATATATATATATATATATATATATATATATATATATATATATATATATATATATATATATATATATATATATATATATATATATACATATATATATATACATATATATATATATACATATATATATATATATATATATATATATATACATATATATATATATATATATATATATATATATATATATATATATATATATATATATATATATATATATATATATATATATATATATAAATATATATATATATGTACATATATATATATATATATATATTACAATATTATTATTATATAGCGTTTCTATAATTTACAATATTATCCTGATATATATATATATATATATATATATATATATATGTATATTATATGTATATTATATATATATATATATATTATATATTATATAT